AGGAACAACTCATTGCTGGATCACTCTCCCTTGTCTCCTCCCCACTGGTCCAGGGCTCAAGCGCCTCCTGGTGGCCAACCAGTCTCTCTGCGCCCTGCTCAGAGTCAGAACCCTGTCCAAGGTCCTCCAGAGCCGACTCAGAGGGCCCCTCGTTGTCGGAGTCTGGTGGCAGCTCCAACAGCACCTGCTGGGCCACAACAGTCACCCACCCAGTCTTTTTTCATGTCTAAGACGGGACTAGAACTCAATAGTTTCCCAGTTTCTCACCTGGTGCCTTGATCAAGCTGGTTCTCAAATGTGAATTGCTAGAGGGGTTGTATGTTATGTTCTACACGTTTTTTCCATTTCTAGGGAACTTTCTGTTGGACGAGGGTCCACAGCACCAGTTGGTGGAGGGGCTTTTGCCAAAATTAACACAGTGGAGCCCTGGGATGGGAAGGATGGCGAGGTAAGAGACTTCGTTTTCATCTCTGTATCCATACAGGGCTTGTTTGGATATTTCAGGGTTCATGCATTTAAATTGGTTCGCTATCAAGTCAATCTCTCAACGTTTAGTTAGCCTGATAAATATATACCCCAAAGCCTGTATTGAAAGATCGATTTAAGTTTTAACTATTTCTTTCCTTTTCTGTCACTGATGTTATCTGTGCGAAGCCCCCTTGGTTCTCTACTTGGCTCTGCATCTTCGTTCTCTTTTGGATTTCGCTGAAAGCTTTTGACATTTGTTTATCGATCTATTTCTGGCACCGTTTTATTGTCTGTATCCTGTTTGAGCTATTCTGGTAATGCTTCCTGTGCAGACTGTTTTCTTTCTTTCTTCCTTTTTTTCTTTCCTGTCCTGATGGCAGGTCGCTCACCAAATGTTCAACTAGTCTAGCGTTGTTGTTATAAAGAGGAACTTGATAATAATGCCACTCCTAGTTGGCTTGTTTACCCAGCTGTTCAGGTTACATCCAAGCTTACGTAGATTTTCAACTTTTATTGTTCGCTTAGAGTCTACTCTTGAATTCTAATTTTTCATGGGCAATTTCTGCTCCGTAGCTTACTGAAGCCACACAAAATTTCACACCTGGGCTTGTTCCAATCCTGGTTCGCTTAATGAAAAATAAACCGCCCATCTTGTAGAGAGATAAAAGAATAACGCCTTGTTTGGCCAATTTTGAGTCTACTGTTGGGATTATTTTGCTGTACACATCTCTCGAGACATTTAGCAGCTTGGATGTAGGAATCAAGAAGCCAGAGAGCTGTAAATAAGCATGTAACCCAATTCCCTTATCATGCTAAGCCAACATTTGACTTAGCATGGCAGTGTAAACCCAGTTATTTTGATCGGAGTCCTTTGGGATTGGGCGGCATATAAATCAAATAAACTCAACTCAACTCAACCTTAACCATCAGATACTAATGATAGCATTAATTTTCCTACTGATTTCAAAGAGTTAAAATAACAGCGATTAGACTGAAGATTGATGGTGTGGGTGTTGAAACTCCACTTAAATTGCATCACTTATCTGAATGATAAAAACCTTATCTTCAGATTGTGTGCGTAGCAGTGGTGGGATTCAAATAATTTACCAACCAGTTCTCTGCCCTAATCACAAGCTGGGTAGGCGGGGCTCGGTGGTCATGTGATCATGTGGGCGTGGCCAAGTCAATGTCACTCAGGTCGATGGGCACTTCGCCTTAGTTGTTACANCAACTCCCAGAATCCCCCAGCCAGCATAGCTGGCTGGGGAATTCTGGGAGTTGAAGTCCACAGGACTTAAAGTTGCCAAGGTTGAGAAACACTGCGATAGATAGATGCTCACGGAGCAAGGAGGGGAATGGTGGAGCTGCCCCATGCGCCTCAAACCAGCTTACCACACGGCCCCCCCTACAGCCAAGTCACGCCCCAACACCTGCCTCGTTGCAGCAGCGCCAGCAACCATGTGCAGCAGGAGTCCACGTGGCCTCCGGCCCACGTCTTCTGCTTGTGGCCGCAATGGAGCAGGAGGCCGCGTGGCACAGCCGCTGGGTGAAGATGACCTCGCTGCAGGTCCCCCAGGTAAGCCGGTGCGGGCCGCGTGAGGCAAGTCCACCACTCCTGCCTCACGGCGGTGGCAATAGCACTCCGCACAGCCTCCTGCCCTGCCGCGAGCAAGCAGAAGTGGGCCTCTTGTACCCGGGGGGGATAAGACAACACCCCCCCAAAAAATAAGCCCTAGTGCTTAGAAAGAAAATAAGACCTGGTCTTATTTTCAGAGAAACGCTGGATGGATGTAATGATTTCTGTGTTAATGTTTACATAACGGCTATTTAGAGAACTTGGGTTGTGCTGTGAAGCTAAGAGCTGTTTTATTTTGATTTTTAGTGGATTAGCTTTTGTGCCCACTGTGATTTGAATTCTTCGATTCTGTGTTCCAGGTCCGTGGGTTTCCGACAATAAAAATTTTCCAAAAAGGAGAAGAGCCTGTTGACTACGATGGCGGAAGGACAAAATCAGATATCGTTGCTCGAGCTTTGGACTTGTTTTCAGAGAATGCGCCAGCACCCGAACTCCTAGAGGTATGCCCTCATTTTGATCAAGCGGTTACTTCCTAGGGAAATTGCAACAAAATGTTGCGGTATGGGGGTACTTCTGTCCCATGAGCAGCCATTGCAGTCTTTCAAAATATACTCCATATTTCATTTCAGACCCCTTCTCAGTTATTTTGTAGTCACAGAACTCTTAGTATTTTCTCTTCTTGAAAGCCTGTGCATGGCGATTACAACCCCCCCATCTCATTAGTTCTATTTTGTTGTTTGTTTGTGTTTATTTTATTTATATGCCGCCCTTTTCCCCCGAAGGGGACTCAGGGCGGCTCACAACTCAAATCAGGGAAGGGGGGGATACAGACAAAATTAAAAACGACACAAAACAGTGCATGATTTAAAACACACGACAGTCACACCATTCGAGACGGGGGCAACGGTTCTTTAGCCCCAGGCCTGTCGGAACAGCCAGGTTTTGAGGGCTTTGCGGAAGGCCTGGAGGGTGGTGAGAGTTC